TCCTACGTTAAAAAAAATTTTTTTAAGTTTATTTATTTTTGAGAGCGAGAGAGACAGAGCATAAGCTGGGGAGGGGCAGAGAGAGAGGGAAACACAGAATCTGAAGCAGCTCCAGGCTCCGAGCTGTCAGCACAGAGCCCGACGCAGGGCTCGAACCCACGAACCACGAGATCACGACCTGAGCCGAAATTGGACGCTTTACCGACTGAGCCCCCCAGGCACCCCCCTGTACACTTCCTACATTTTAAATCACATGTTTAGAGCAGTGTTGTATTTGACAGTTTGTTGTATCCTTCCAAACAGTGTAATGCCTTTTCGTCTCTTTTCCCAGCACGATTACGTGGTGTTCATGATGGTCTCTTCACTGGACAAATAGATGCCGTGGATACTTTTAATGCCACTTATCGAGTCACTTTTGATAGGGCAGGGCTCGGGACCCACACCGTCCCTGACTACGAAGTCCTGGTGAGTATTTCGTAATACACGCACGTTTATGCCTTTAAGGACGCTCTGTAGAATCTTCTTACAGGCCGTTTTGTGAGGGACTCCAGATTCCAGGTTACAGAGGAAGAGATCCCGGGGGGTTTGGCCCCCGGAGCAGAACGATATCAAAGTCTTTGACGTTCCCGGAGCTAACGTCCTTCCCCACGCAGCATTCGAGTGTGACAGCACTAGTCACTCCTCACTGAACAGTCTCGGCCACAGAGCACTCTTGGTCCGGCTGCTTCACTAAAGTCTACTCCTCTTGCAAGAAGATTTGAAAAACACGAAGTAACATCTTGCACTTTAACATTTGTTCTCCTCTTTTAGCCTCAGAATTGTGCACTTTTTGCATGGTGAAATTAAGGCGGAAGTACGTGAAGTAACTTATTCAAGACCCTAGAGTGGGCCCTGCCAGGCTGAGACCAGGATCCAGGCCTTTTGAATTCGTGATACAGTCCTTTCTACTACTAGACCATTACTTCCTGATCGTGCTTGATTTAGCAATGCCTTGAGAGTTCTACACCTTTCTGATCAGTCAACATAATTTCAAGAACTCAGACAACTCTGCAATCCGATAAAGTTTTTATAAAGTGAATAATTAACTGTTCATAAGAGTTGGTTTCCTCTGAGCCTCATGGGAATTAAATTATTCACTCTTAACCTCCCTTTTTTCATTTCTATTATAAATGTGATTTTTAGGGGTTATGAACTTAAATTTCAGAGCACCTGAGTGGCTCAGTCATGTGAGCGTCTGACTGTTGATTTTGGCCCAGGTCAGGATCTCACAGTCATGGGTTGAGCCCCATGTTGCTTCTGTGCTGAGCTTGGAGCCTGTTTGGGATCCTCTCTCTCTCTCTCTCTCTCTCTGTCTCTC